ATTTCATTTTGGATTTTCCTGATATTTGCCCGATTTTCCTTGATTTTTGCACGAATGAACCTACATTCGTTTGATTTTACCAACCAACGAATCATTTTAACCTTTTTTTTCTCAATGAAATATATCAAATGTTTCATTTTTGCAAATGTTAAATTGTACGTAGTTAAAACATGCTTGACGCATGCAGAATTCCCCAATTCATGATTTTCCTGGCGATATACAATTTTCTTATATTTTCTAGGTTTTCCGGTTTTTACTGACAGAAGACACCCTATTATAACTCCGCACGTTTAAATGTCAAGGTTCTAAAAGTGGTTCCATTGGTTTCCTCGTAAAATTGTCTTCCAGAGCACCCCCTTAAAATTTAGAAATTGACTAAATAAACTTCAAAATTCGCAATTTTCGTCCAAAATTTCTTGAGCAAACTCTCCTATTAAATCAATCCACCAAGAGGCGATGGAATAAGAAATTAAGGAGTGCGCGCTCCGAGGCACTGTGGTGGTCGGGCTTCGAAGACCTTCAGAGAGCGCTGTAAAAGCGACTCTTGTGTATGTATTTATACATCCAATGCAGAGAGTCGATATAAAACAGAAATTTTCATTTTTAACGAATCCACTGGCTGCAGTCATTAAAGAACGGTTCAGCGAAACGCGTATTTGACCCATAATGAAACACTTATTGCACTTGTCCACCAGTCCCTACTGCGGGGAAATTGGTTTATCTTTAACGACCGCTCCGTAAAAAGCACTGAATCATCGCGCCATTCGCGGGAGTAAGCCACAAAATACAAGGCGTAGTTGTCAAATGTAGGCGAACTCTTACGATTCCCCCGACAGATCAATACTAAATGGACCAATTAACCCGGGAAATTTGGCAATTGTGTCACGGAATATTCGCGATACACCGCGCACAAGAGCCTCATTCAACAGGTACTCGAAGCGCGGAACACAGCTGTGGAGCCGAGGGTGCGTTGTTGCCCAACTTGCGAGAAGTAATAATGAAGCCGAGGGTTTATCCGGATCGCAGGAACAGTTTTCTACGTCAGTATTTCCTTTATTTTTTTACGAAGTACGATTGGACTATTCGTTGTAATTTGGAACTATATACAAAATTTTGCTCAGTTATGAAACGAAATACGTGCTATTAGTTTATGCACATGAGTGGTTTTACGGATGTGCCAGAACTTTTAGTTCCGATCTGCAAAATTCAGTCCAATTTATGAAAAGATCTGAGGAAGAGGACCTTACCCTCAGGGAGTAAATTGTCAAGGTGAGGTAAGTTTGGGATGTGGTCAAAATCGGTAATTTTGAGTTCTCAATGGGAAACATCACCTCAAACCGAGATTATGCCAGTTTGAATATTTCAGTAAAATACGTGGTATTCAAAACGAGTAATAATTTGAAATATTTAATTTTGTATGTTTGAGTCTCAAAACTGTCGAATAAATATTCAACTTTGCCGCCCCTCTTCAGACACAAAAAGTAACGAAACCGCTCGCAACTTAGTATTTACGGGCCCGAAGATTTCTTATGTCGAAAATCCAAATGAAAATAATTTAACTTAATTTAGGAAAAATCCCTCTCCGAAGAAATGAACTATATTTTGCAATTTGGAACTATAAATTCTAGCCCGGTTTTAAAACAACGTATGTGACATTAGTTTCCCTATGCACATAAGTGTTTTCCATAAGAGCCAGAATTTATAGTTCCAAATTGCAAAATGCAGTCCAAATGTGCCCCAGACACTACGGTCCTTATGCTCGCATCATGAATGCGTACAATTTTTATTTTTAGTTTCCACAAATTCGAGGAGAAGCGGAGTCTTATCGTTAAGGACATATTATTTGTAAAGTGGCAAGAGAAAATACAAGAAGCTAAACAGAAGAAGAAAAGATCGCAGAATAATGAAACTTGCTACTTTAAAACATTGCTCGTTTTAATTTTCTCGTAGAAATACTGGAACTAATGTCAGACAAACATATCTGAGTTCATTCTACTTCCTTTTCAGACTGAGTAAACTTGCACTGAATATTTTAACGTAGTGGCTTTGAAATTAAAAATGATAGATACGTCACGTGACATTCCCGCAAATCGGAGTGAGAGGAAAGCACGCCTTCAGATATTACAGCGATTGGCTGATACAACTATTCGTGCTCAGCCGCAGCACATGGTGCATACACAAACTATTGAAGGCGTTTATTGCGTTTCTGTGAGCGTTCAAGTGCTTTGCTTGTCGGAACATCCTTTTTTAGCTTCAAAACTTTCTTGCAAAAATTTTCCTTTGGATGACGCCATTCCAAGAGTTTCTCAAACACAATTTACGATGGGTCTTTGTAAAAACTCTTCGGAAAATTTCATCGATTATGCCTTCTTTGGATGTTTTTAAAGCAAAATTTACGCCGGTTGCATGTAATTCAGGTGACGAAGAGATACAATTTAAGTAAAACATTGTTGAAATATGTACTATAGTTTTTAACCTTTAAAGTATCAGATAATATACTAAGAAATTTTCTAAAAATTGTAATTTTTTAAAGATTGTGTCACATGTATTTAACTAGACGTGGATGTTGCTTTGAAAACGTCTAAAACGGCCACCAAGGACTTAATCGTTGGAAGTTTTCGAAGAGTTTTTACAGAAACTCATCATAAATCGTGCTAGATCCTCTTGGTTGAAATTGGTAATTCTTGTAGACTACGGGAGCACATGATGCACTAACTGCTATAGGCTCTCTCGAGAGTTGCTGTTCGTTAGTCTTTTACCTACGTCCTTTGCCCATTGCAACCACCCGCTTCTACCAATCGGATCTCTCCATTTCCCTTTCATCTTTTTTGTCAATCGCTTTGTCTGCCAATGGAGATGTTGAATGAGTGAGGAATTTGCGATTTGACTATTGATTCTTCTGTAAAAGTTCGCGAGAAACACGATGGTGCCATTGGTTTTCTCTGATATCAACTCCCAACCTCAAAAAAAGCTCTCAAGTTGAGGCCAAAATAGAAGGGATACCCCACCCTACCCTGAGAGTCCACCTCTACATCAAGACAAACTTTCCATGCAAAGATAGGGAGCAAATACTTTAGCAGTGATGCCGTGTTTTCAGTTTTGGAGTCCCTAAAAAAATGGAAGCCCTGTCAATGTATTTGCTCTCTATCTTTGCATGGAGAGTTTGTCTTGATGTAGATGGGGACTCTCAGGATAGCGTGGGATATTCCCTCCATTTTGGTCTCAACTTGAGAGCTTTTTTAGAGCTTGGGAGTTGATTTCAGAGAAAACCAGTGGCACCATCGTGTTTCTCGCGAACTTTTACGTGAGAATCAACAGTCAAATCGCAAATTCCTCACATATGCAACATCTTCATTTCGACAATCAGCCCGCAGGCCCATTTCCAAGCCTGTTCTTAACATAACATTTTTCGGGAAACTTCAAGCCCGCCACGCGACAACCTCGCGTGTATCGATGGCGAATCCCACGTGTGACGGGGNGGGGGGGCTTTCGTTTTTGATGGGATCAGTAATTGTTTCTGACACGTTGCCCGCCCGCGATCGAGTCGGAACAGCATGCCACAGCGACAGCGCAGTTGGCCGATCAATCTGAGCTCAGATCTCACCGTGTGCACTTCAAATAGCGCCTCGAATCCATACTTTCTGTGCGCGGTTATTTCATAAACTAGAATAGCTATTTAGAAAAGCCAAATAAGGGATCATATGGATCAAAAGCTTTCATTTTCCGAGCGTAATAGTATGGTAATTTCTGATTATGTCGTCTTTCAGCGATACAAGAGACAGCACCTTTAATTAGTCGAGTTAAGAGAGAAACTGAACACGCACTTTGACCTGGGGCGGAGCGGCGCAGAGATCAATGATGACGAGGACTGAGATGAAAAGAAGAAGCCCTTGACGCGGCGTAAAACGCATAGCGCCTACAAGACTGCATGAATACTTCACGCATTGCGCCAAACACAGTGCAGTCGGCACGGCGGCGGCGGATGTTAAAATTATTAACCACATTTGGACCGAGTTAAACAAGAAAGGAACCAAGCCACATCAGCTATTGCCAAATTTAATTGGGCAAGTCAATTTTTTACGAGAGAACGTTTGTGCAGATTCCTTTGACAATTTTAAGGAATTTGCTTCGTAATATGGAGAAAATTCACTGAAAGCTCAAAAATCCGCCCAACTGTTTTCATGTAAAAAATTAATTCGCCCGATTTTTAGCTATAGCTGATGTGGCTTGGTTCCTTTCTGTTTAACGCGGTCTGTATGATCCTAGCCATGGTGATGTCTTCGTGGGAAAATTATCAAGGGCATCGAAATTATGGGTAATCAAGCTTTAATGAACAAGAAACGACAATTTTCGATCAAATTAACTGCTAAAACCAATGAATGTATGGAGTTACTTTTTGGCAGGAATTCCTAAAAAATCGCGAAATACTCGTGAGGTTGCCTCACTCCGGATCGTGTACCAACAAAGCTAGTTTGAATTTATCAATTCTGTGAATTTAGAGTGTTTGTATGCTATTAGCCCTCTGGAAAGACCAAAAAAAGTTTATTCGGACGTGCGGTGGAGAAGCTATCAACAATATCCGGTTTCTGATTGAACAGACCTCGTAGACTCAATTTCCTCCGGTTCAAAGGGAGCACCTATTGCATGGAAATAATTTTTTCTCGGACCGTTAAAGCTTCCACGAAAACACATTGAATCTAGAGTCTAGACTCTTGAAAACATTGACAAGAAAATATACTCTCGATTCAATCAGATTTAAGCTTAAATCAAGAGGAAATCCGCTCAAAATAAGAGGCTTGGTTCTTGATTTAAGCTTAAATTTGATTGAATCAAGAGTATTTTTTCTTCACGATGTTTTTAAGAGTCTGGACTCTAGATCCAATGTGTTTTTTTCCCGTGTTACCTGAACTTAAAAATAAAAAAATTCGGTGCTTTGACGGTTAAATTATAAAAAAAGTTTAAATTAAAGCGGATAAAAATACATGAAAGGTGTGACTTACCTCTTTTATGCTAATATCCGTCTCTATGATGATACCCTCGTCGGAGACTTCTTGTGCGTAATAATGGCTGAACGGGGCTCCAGGAAGCCGGACCGGTTCCACGTGACCGTTCTTGCTGTGATACCGTAACAGGTAGGCCGTCCAACAAACGTACCTGAAACCAAAATCTGGTCGTTACTCTTACAAATTTCATACAAATTGTCCAAACAATCATTCTCAGGAGCAGTGTTCGAAACTCAGAGGCGCCAACGCGCCTAAAAATCGTCCATGGCGCCTACAAAATGAAGGCTCTGCGCCAACGTGGCCCCTAAAAATTGCCCCCTGAAAATCTGAATTTTTATATTAGGTGATTGTTCGAAATTTTCAGCACCACAAGAGAAAACGTTCTCTATTTTTCACGACTTCATCATTTGTGCTTTTGTCTTTCCCAAGTTACAGCTACTTACTAGTTCTGTCACGAAAACATCTTGCGTCTAACTTTTCACTAAATGCGCCGTAATATATAGGCAAAAAGGTAATTTTGCCCCTAAAAAATCTTCAATGGCGCCTAAAGATCTGGCTTGATGCGCCACATGGCTCCTAAAACTCAAAGGTGAGTTTCGAACACTGCTCAGGAGATTGAAAAGCTTCTTAAAAGGTTAGAGGAGAATCGTTACCAAACAACTAGGTAGCCTTTGCTCCTTAACCGCTACGCGGGTCAACCCCTAGAGGGCGCTTCGCGTTCTCCCTCCTGAGATGCCCGAACCGGGTCAAATGAAGAATTCGCATGTAAGAATTTGATTTCTTCTTTCGAGAGCTTAAAGCTCTCAAAAGTGAGGCCAGTTCTTCCATAAACTTTTACAGGAAGCCGAGATACTAATATTACTCGAAATGTGGCGATGAAAGTCTGTGGTGACTAATATATCAATAAAACTTGAAATCTGACAGTCGCGGGAGGTTTTTCGTCGTAAATGCGTCCGGTTAACGAGACTGCAGAGTCAAGCGCAGCGAAAATTGAAGTACCGGTTTGATTGGATAAAAAATCATTTTTACAGGAGTTCAAGCGGTAGCCAATCTAACCTTTCCCCAATTATCGATGAAATTTCCCGGACTCATCGAAAAAATCTGTGCAAAATTACATGTTCCAATTTTTGTACACCCTTTTTTTTCTGCGCATTGTGCGCATGAGTGTTTACCCGACCCTCTTTTCCGAGACCCAGTGGTGTGGCGTAAATGGTCGATTATCGATATTTTCCCATTTGAAGTCGTGGTAAAGAATCGATTACTAACGTGTTAGTTGCGAAAACCTCGTTTATCGATTATTCTTTTTCGGTTCAACTGGTAGATCAATCAATATGTGCTAGAGTGCGCCTCGAAAGTGCTTCCGGTTGAGCTACAGGCGCCCAACAATTTTTTCGAGGACGTATATTTAGACATTTATACGTTTTTTTTTAAGGGTTCTACTGATTATTTACTAAACTCATACAAAATGGCTAACGCCCTTAACTTTCAGCGCTGAATTTATTCACGGCTTCAAAGATGTCAGAATTTCAAGGTAAAGGGTTATTTTGGGGGGGCTTTTAAGCTCATCAAGATTTTTTACTCGGTGTTTTGATCAAGTAAGTTATTCTAAGTTGAGCGGGCTCACTTAGGGACTATCTCCCATCTTCAGCCGCAAAAATTATGTAAATCAGGCAGATCTGTTCAACGAATAAACGTGAAAAAAAAATCAAAATTAAGGAGCCACACAGCTTACAGTAATAAAAAGTATTATTTACACTCATGGAACTCGCTCCTGCATTCAGGATGTTCAATTCTGAGACACCCTATGTATTAACTCACAACATAAGATTCAGCCTGAGGTTAGGTTTTTCGATTACACAGCAACAATTGAACGTATCTCTGCCAAACGGAACTACGTGCGTTAAGACATGAGCCCTGAGACCCTTAAGAATACATGTTTAACAGGTCTCACGTCATAATGCACATAGTTTCGTTTGGTAGAAATACGTCCAATTGAACATCGGTGTACCGAACACAACAAGAATGGCACAAACACCGAACGAGTCTATTCGTTACCCTCCTGATGTAAGGGCGTGTCTTGGTTTTCTCATGAGCCCCAAAAATCATGCATTTAAACGTAAAACAGGGCTCACGTGGAAATTAAGACACGCCCACTAGCCAGAGGGGCAACGTATTGTCTTCTACACGAACACGTCACGATCGTTGGCCTGCGTTCGAACTCTGACTCTATCTTTACCTCCGTGGCTTGATTTTATCACAACTCCATCTTTCAATTTCGCTTCACTAACGTGCCCCCCCCCCCCCNTCCTCCGCCTCCTTCTCCTCCCCCCATCCTTCTCCCCCGACCCTGCTCCTCCCCCCCGCATCCAATCCTCCCTCCATCGGGGGCGGGAGAATCTGAGCGACGGCTAATTCGAACACCGACTGCGTTCTCCCGATTGCCCCGCACAGTGGATCGAGTCGAGTAGAGAGGTCTTTTTTTTACAAAAATTTACAACCATATAAGAATTTTACATTGTTACCATTCAAAAGGTAAAATAAATTAATTTTTAGATTTTAGATAAAACCATGTTTTAAATATCTAGTTATTAAATATAATAATTTAATTAAATATTGTTGTATCTCAGAAATGCCTAATTTTACAAATACTTTACAAGTCTTATTATTTAAATATCATTCATATCATATTAATTCAGGATTCACTTCAATTAAGTGCGATTTGAGAGGTCAGACGTGAAATTTTTGATTGAAACTGCAAATTTTGATGTTTATTTCGTCACATTTTAAATTTCAAGAGGTGCTTCAGTGAACAGGGTGTCTACAAGTCAGGAATTTCTGGAAGGTCCGGAAACAGTACTGATTTTTTAAGGGTGGTCCGAAAGCACTGAAAAAGTGCGGAAATGGAGATGTTGCATGTGTGAGGGATTTGCGATTTGGCTGTTGATTCTTATGTAAAAATCGCGAGAAACACGATGGTGCCTCTGGTTTTCTCTGAAATCAACTCCCAAGCTCAAAAAAAGCTCTCAAGTTGAGGCCAAAATGGAGGGGATATCCCACCCTACCCTGAGAGTCCACCTCCACATCAAGACAAACACGCCGTGCAAAGATAGGGAGCAAAGACATTGACAGGGCTGCCACTTTATTTGGGGACTCTAAAACTGAAAACACGGCATCACTGCTAATGTATTTGCTCCCAATCTTTGCATGGAGAGTTTGTCTTGATGTAGAGGCGGTGGACTCTTAGGGTAGGGTGGGATATCCCCTCCATTTTGGCCTCAATTTGAGAGCTTTTGTTGAGCTTGGGAGTTAATTTCAGAGAAAACCAGTGGCACCATCGTATTTCTCGCAAACTTTTACATAAGAATCAACAGTCAAATCGCAAATCCCTCACACATGCAACATCTTCATTCCGCAAGGAGGTTCGGAATTTCTTCATTTCTGAGAGAGAAATTCAAATGTATGACACTTTTCGCGTCAGATGGAGGTACTGAAAAAGTACGGAATTTTTCTATTGAGGAGGGTCTAAATTTCTTGGGAAAGTACTGATTTTTGGCCAGCCTGTTTTAGGAGACACCCTAATCAGCATAAAAATGTTACGAAGAAACCAACAGAACCGCTTTTAGAACCTCAAAGTTTCGTATAGACGGAGTTATAAGCTAAGGGTTTTTTTTTTTCTTTCCGTCGGATGTCATGATTATTTTGACATACTTTCTTTTGTTGTTTTGGTCCGATCCTTTGTTTATCTCCTTTGGTTATACTATGGCCATCTCGAGTTCGGCGACTCATCTTCACACGGAGAAAAAAACCTCGTGCGTGGGACCCGAAGTTTAGGTCATATGGATTTCTGAAGTTTTCAGATGGAGCATCCTAACACTCAAGATCCAGCTGCCGAGGTTCGGATCACACATCTGAAACTTCAGTTCTTACATCTGAAGTACTTTGGTTTTCAAATCCGAACAACTTCAGTTCTCACATCCGAAAAACTTGAATACTTAAGTACTTCAGATGTAAGAACTGAAGTTTCAGATGTGTGATCCGAACCTCGACAGCTAGACCTTAAGTGTTCAGATGCTCAATCTGGAAACTTCAGAGATCCATATGACCTAAACTTCGGATCCCACGCACGAGGTTTTTTTTCTCCGTGCAGGTGTAAAAAAACATTTCGCGATGTATCGCACGTCAAACTTAAAGCTAAAAACGAAGTTTTTGTACACCTGAAGATGAGTCGCTGAACTCGGAACGGCCATAGTGTAACCACAGAGGATAAACAATAAAGGATCGGACCAAAACAATACGAGAAAGTAAGTAAAAATAGGAGTTATAAGCGTTTTAAGTTTCCAAATTTTGTCCGACCTCTTCTTCTGACTCGATTCACTGTGCCCCGCGCCAAATGTTACCGGGGTACCCGTAGAAAAGGGGGGGGGGTTGCGAGTCGGAAGGGGGAGGTAAGTAGGAGATAACCGGAAAAGGGATCTCGGGGTCGCGTTGGCGCAACTGTGCAACATCTACACGGATGAAAGCCTATTCTAACGGTGAGTTTCCGGAACGGCGCTGGGTCCGGATTTAAGATCTCCTGGGATATAGATTTGTGACAGAGTCCCTTGTTCCTTCGCGATAGGAGATGAAGCACGGTAAGAAGGAGTAATCGACTTTTTGTGTTAAAATGGGTGGTAGAACACATAATAACCAACACAGGCAGTTAATAGGTTTTTATTAGACCAGGAGGTACGCCCCCTCACCGCTACGCGACTTAACCCCCGAGGGCGCTTCGCGGACCTCTTAAGCACGGAAAAAAAATCTTGTGCGTGAGACCCGAAGTTTAGGTCATATGGATCTCTGAGGATTTCGGATTGAGCATCTGAACACTATAGGTCCAGCTGCTGAGGTTTGGATCACACATCTGAAACTTCAGTTCTTACATCTGAAGTACTTCAGATGTGAGAACCGAAGTTTTTCGGATGTGAAAACCGAAGTACTTCAGATGTAAGAACAGAAGTTTCAGATGAAGTACTTCAGATGTAAGAACTGAAGTTTCAGATGTGTGATCCAAACCTTAGCAGCCGGACCTAAAGTGTTCAGATGCTCCATCCGAAAACTTCAGAGATCCATATGACCTAAACTTCGGGTCCCACGTACGAAGTTTTTTTCTCCGTGTGGCATATTCTGGCATAAAATAAGCAATCTCTATATTAATTAGGTATTGTGGAGCGAAGCGATTTATTCATTTTCGGAATAAACTCCTATGGAAAGAGAGGAAATATATAGAAAAAATTGTAATATGAGCTCAGAATTATTGAGGAAGTCAATGATAATAATGCTTTACTTTTAAAAAAATTTAAAAAATTAAATAAAATAAAAATAATGTGTGGTCTGACTCCGAAAATGTGAGGGCGAAGGACTCTCTGCACCCCTGCCCAAATATCACAGAGTAATCTAGGATTTTGGTAGATTTAACCAAACCTTTGGTCGATCAACCAAGTCATTTTGATTGATTTGATCGAAAAAATGTAACTTAAAGTGATCATAAGCAAGACAACTTTTAACTCTCCACGAGATACGCGTTTTTGCAGCTTCACCGTTGTCACACTGTACAAATGAAATTAATTTAAATGAGGAAAGTGCTGACTTTTAGTTTTTACGCACTGACAATTATGTATGTGCTGCATAATGGATTTTTCTTACCAACTTATGCCTAAATGAGGTCCAAAATTGAGGGTGGCTGGACGGTCATCAAATCGTCGTCTTCCGGCCGAAGTATCACAAGCGCCATGCGACGTTTAAACATTTCCATCGCCATTTTATTTTTTCACAGAGAAACTCTTCAACGAAGTTGTCCGAAATGGAGATTTTGCAAGTGTGAGGGATTTGCGATTTGAATGTTGATTCTTACGTAAAAGTTTGCGAGAAACACGATGGTGCCACTGGTTTTCTCTGAAATCAACTCCCAAGCTCAAAGAAAGCTCTCAAGTTGAGGCCAAAATGGAGGGGATATCCCATCCACCCTGAGAGTTCACCTCTACATCAAGACAAACTCACCATGCAAAGATAGGGAGCAAATACATTAGCAGGGTTGCCGTGTTTTCAGTTTTGGAGTCCCCAAATAAGGTGGCAGCCCTGTCAGTGTATTTGCTCCCTATCTTTGCATGGAGAGTTTGTCTTGATGTAGATGTGGACTCTCAGGATAGCGAGGGATATCTCCTCCATTTTGGTCTGAACTTGAGAGCTTTTTTGAGCTTGGAAGTTAATTTCAGGGAAAACCAGTAGCACCATCGTGTTTCTCGCAAACTTTCACACGAGAATCAAAAGTCAAATCGCAAATTCCTCACACATGCAACATCTCCATTTAAAAAATGAAATGGCGGCTGAAATTTTTAAACGTCGCACGGCGCTTGTGCTACTTTGACCGGAAGGTGACGAAACGTCGGACCCACACGATAAATCAACCTTTGATGGAGGTAAAAAATTAAGTCCGAGGTAAAAATTAAGCGCGGCATAAAGCGATGCGTGCCAGAGGCATATTTTTAATTAAGCGCTCCGTGTGTTGGATCGAAACTTTTCGGTTGTTTGTACCTAATTCCGACTGTTCGCAGCATTTGAATCGGTGGATATTAAATCTGGCGAGTGCAATACTTGATGAGCCCTTACCTCCATATTCATGCATAAATTCCGAGGCTTATTGGGTCGCGGAACTAAACAGTTTTTACATTGCGTGATGCATCTGTCGAGAACAGCTCGTAACGAGTTACTCAAGTTTCACGGGATGTAATTACTCGTTCGGAGTTTGATCAACTGGACGTATTTCTATCAAACGGAACTATGTGAATTAAGACATGAGCCCTGAGACCCATAAGAATACATGCATAACAGGGCTCACGTCATAATGCACATAGTTCCGTTCGATAGAAATACGTCGAACTAATAATTAATACATTTTTGGGGGGGGCTGTATATACTGCCGTGCCGAGGAAAACGCCGCATCAGCCATCAGACGTTGCCAAATTCTTTAAAAAACCGACAAATTTTCAGAAAAAGATGTGAATATTTCTCCTCCGATTTTTTCGGAGAATTTTATTCGAAATGTAATCTCAGCAGTCTGAAAATTTCCAGGAAAAATATTCATAACTTTTTTCAAAATTTGATAATTTCGTAGAGGAAATTTGGCAACATTCGAATGGTCATGTGGCGTTATTCCTAGCACGGTAGTATAGCAGAAAGCCCCAGAAGCCCTTAAAAAGGAAACGCTCGGTTTATTGAATCCGGTCGTAGAATATTCATAGTTATTGGCCCATTTTCAGATATTAATATTTAGCGTTGAAACTCATAAAACAACGGCAGGAATTCTGCGCATACAACCGGGCAGATTAGTATTTTCCGCAGCGTTTTATACGTTTTTTGAGCTATGGTAATTCAGCCGTGATTTAGTTTGGTTTGACATTTTTCAAAGTCCTCTATCCGAAAATACTGGGGTAAAAAGATGCGTTTTTAAACCTCCATTTCGACGAAGAGAGCGCACGATTTTTCAGATATTCTGGATCAAATTGCTCACAACATTGTCTGAAAAATCTGGGAAAATATATTCACAATTTTTCCTGTAAATTCGGTTTAATCGAAGGAAATTTGGCACGAATCGAGGAACTTCCATCCGTACCGGAGTGAAGCAAGAATGACAATTTAACTCTATTTTGGACTAAAAAACCACTATTTCTATGGCGTATTTTACAGAGCAATATATAAGCTATTGGGCTTCGCATCAATACATTTCCTTTCACTGATAAACCAGAAACGGTGTTTCTTAACTGCAAAATGTAATCAAATTGGTACTGCACGTTTTTGATTGAATTGGACTTCACTTTTCAAATTAGGAACTCAAATATTCTGGCTCAGTCTAGAAGAACGTATGGACCACCAGTTCCCCTACGCACAAAAGTGCCTTTACGAATGTGCCAGAAATTTTAGTCACCTATTGCAAAATGAAGTCCAGTTATTAGTGCTGGATCACGGTAGATTCATTAATTCCAGCAAGTTTGCCGCTTCTTGCCACCAGGGTGCTCTGTTGCATTGAAAATCCTGTTAGACGTTCAAATTGTCGGATCACGCATGATTAACTTACGTCAAATTAACGAAATTTGACGATGTACAGAAACTAAAAGTGATTTCTTCACGAGTAAAAATGTCCAGTAAGGATCCGCTGATCCACGAGTGAAAGTTGGAGGTCAAGTCCGAAACTCTTGGCTTTTATCTACCCAAGCGCTAGACACTAGCTACGATAGCGCGCCCGTGTGGCGCGGGGATTCGATAGTATCTTGCGTAGATCCTTCTTCTCACCAACGTGGAAACCGTATTGCATATTCACTTGCAATACAAGGCCAATAGAGTGTGGATTCCTACTGTTAAGGTAGATACAGTACTATTACACAGATAGAAACGCACAGATATGCTCCACGATCCCCCACCCAAATCAAAAAGTATAGCCTTATTAGTGAAGACCACTGAAAACTACGATAGCGTGACCCTTTGAATTCATGTCGCTCTACAATACAAGCATTTTCATCATTGTAATATTATTGCTTGACGCTGAATGTCTTAAAATTATGAAAACTAACTAATTTATTCAGCCTAAGCTAAGTTATAAGCAATTAACTTGGGGAACGAAAGGAAAGGAGGTAATATCAAATGTTAAAGCTTTTTTTTTTCTAAGTTACTAAACGGTTTTTCTTCAAAATTGTTGCACTTATTCTATAGTATGCACAGACAATTCCAATAATAGAAAAAACAACTTAATCGGCCCAAAACACTAACAAAGAAACAATTTAAAACGGGACTAAGGCCGCAAATAATAAAAAGAAACACAAAATAAAATAAGAAACCTCGAGGGTATTTGGCGCAATGCGTGAAGTATTCCTGCAGTCTTGTATGCGCATGCGCAATGCGTTTCATGCCGACCGCTACTGCACGCACTGTTTTTGACGTAATGCATGAAGTATTCATGCAGTCTTGTAGGCGCTATGCGTTTCACGCCGCCTGCTGCTGACCGCAGCGACCGCACTGTCTTTTAACGCAATGCGTGAAGTATTCATGTAGTCTTGTAGGCGCTAATATGTGTTACATGCCGACCGCCGCGCCGCACCGAGGGTTTCTCCTTTTCATCTCAAGTTCTCGTCATCATTGCTCTCTGCGCCGCGCCGTTCCAGGCCAAATTCCGTGTTCGGTTTCTCTCTTAGTCTTAACTCGACTAATGGAGATGTTGCATGTGTGATGGATTTGCGATTTGACCATTGATTCTTATGTCAAAGTTCGCGAGAAACACGATGGTGCCACTGGTTTTCTCTGAAATCATCTCCCAAGCTCAAAAAAGCTCTCTAAGTGAGTCCAAAATGGAGGGGATATCCCACCCTACCCTGAAAGTCCACCTCCACATTAAAACAAACTCTTCATGCAAAGATAGGGAGCAAATACATTAGCAGGGTTGTCGTGTTCTCAGTTTTGAAGTCCTCAAAGAAAGTGGCAACCCTGCTAATGTATTTGCTCCCTATCTATGTAAGAAGAGTTTGTTTTGATGTAGAGGTGGACTCTCAGGGTAGGGTGGGATATCCCCTCAATTTTGGTCTCACTTTGAGAGCTTTTATTGAGCTTGGGAGATGATTTCAGAGAAAACCAGTGGCACCATCGTGTTTCTCGTGAACTTTTATGTAAGAATCGATGGTCAAATCGCAAAGCCCTCACACATGCAACATCTCCATTTAAGGTGCTGTCTATTGCATCACAGAAAGACGACAAAATTAGATATATACTCTCAGGAAATGAGAGATTTTCTCACCTTTTCTCGTTTGTAATTTTTTTTTTCTGAATCCGATATTTCTCTACACCCACATTTGAAAAATTGCAAAATTTGCCGCCCCCTAAATTCGCCACCCCCTAGATCCGGTCCTGCGCATAGGTATTTTTGAGAATGAGCGATGAGGATTTGGTTGCTGTTGGCTCACCTCAAGTGGTTCCGGGGGACGTTGTGGATATCCTTGTAGACCATGTGGAGCCGGACCGAGTCGGAGTGGCAGTCGCTCTTGATGACCCAGGCCTGTTTGTCCCGGTCGTAGCACTGCGAGACGGACAGTGTCGTGGCCAGGGGGGCCGGCTGACTCCCCGCGTCGGGCGTGATGCTCGAGATGACGTCGCTCAGCGTGTTCGCCAGCAGCATCTCCACGTGAACCCGTATCACACCCTGCAACAGGCACAGGCTCCATTAGAAGGATCGTGTGGATAAACCGAAGGCACGCTACAAGCACGGACGGAGCGCTAAAAGCATAAAATGAAGCTTCTTTTCAACCACCTCTACTATTGTAGATGGAAAAAATCAAAGTTCAGACCTGACCATAATATATGAAAAATGATAAAAGCTAGATGCGGTAATTTGTATTTTTAAACAATTTTTTTTTTATTTTTTTATATAACGCATGCATACGAAAGTGTTAAAAGCAAACATGATCATGTAACTATTATATAAAAAAGGTCATCATTTTCGTGAGCTTTTCGCGAATAAGAAGATTTTTTGGTATGTTTGCGAGAAGCTCACGAAAATTATGACTTTTTTAATATAATAGTTACAAAAAAACGTTCACTTTTAACACTTTCGTATGCATGCATTATATAAAAAAATAAAAAAATTGTCTAATAAAAAAAAATTACCTCATCTAGCTTTTATCGTTTTTCATATGATATGATCAGGTCTGAACTTCGATATTTTTTTATATAAGCGTTACACGTTTTTTATATAAAACTACCAACTAGATAACAGATATGTTTTTTTTTACACTTTTTTTTAGAAAAATAAAAAATTGTTCTGCTACTAGGGCAGTCGTTAGTGGAAGAAGAAAGCCTTGATGGACTTGATTCTCTCGTGCTGTATAATATCTTGGAAGGCAACTTTTTATTTGCCAATAGCCTTCATTCGCACGAAAATAAAAAAATTGACAACTGGCTGAACTCTGGAGGATTGATCGAAGGGTTGTCAAATTAAAGCTCATCGCGTGTCATCTACGCGCGGATTAATGTCAAGTCGATCGGTCAAGCCATCCCTCTTCCCTTCCAACGACCCCCATGCTCCCGACCCTCGACACCCTCTTCTGCCCCCTTTCGCACCCCTTTGCCCCATGACTCCCCCTCGATTCACAGTGTGCCTCTGTTCAACGTCTTGACCTTTCGGCTGTGTCACCCGTCGACGAAAATAAAAGCAGGGAAAGAAGTCGTTAAAAAGAGGGACACTTCACCGACATTCCCAATTACGTTAAAACAGGGGACCAAGACTGCCATGCTAAGGAATAACACCGTATGAGCCTTCAAGCGTTGCCAAATTTCCTTCGGCAAATCACTGATTTTCAGGAAAATTTGTGAATATCATTCTTCCAATTCCTCAGGTTATTTTGTTAGTAATTTGATCTAAGTGTCTGAAAATTTCAAGGAAAAATATTCCTAACTTTCCTCAGAAATAAAAATTTTATCGGAGGAAACTTGGCAACTCTCGAATGTTCATACGGCGTTCTTCCTTAGCCCGGCAGAAGACAGCTATGAAAATTCTCTCACAATCGGGTGGGAGCCTTCACTTTTGTGAGCATAGTTTGGTCCTTTTCCACAACGAAACTTTCATTCATATGAGACGATTTCTGTGTCGTGCATTTTTTTGCGTGTTACTCTTACACGTTTGCTAGTAAATTTTCAATTTACCTCTCTGTACTACTATAATGCTTCTGATGTCTAAGCGCAGAGGACGATAATCGTTTTTTCTTTAATTTAATTTTTTAGCGACATTGTGGTTGTCTCAAAATTGATAGTTGGAATTTTGGTGAGGCAAGTTCTTTCTCTCATCAGCGGTGCTCATCCTCCTCAGGGACCTTAAAAACGTGCCTACATAAAAAACCGCAGAAGGATCCTCTAATACGAGCTTTACCGCTTGTTTTTTTTCGGGAAAACATTGTTTGAGCCCTGAGACGGAGCCAAAATCACTCTGATAAAATACAAATTTCCAGGAAATGCTGTGAATTTTCATCTTGCTATTTTTAAAGAACTTTATTCGTGATTCGGAAGTATCTAGAATTTGTAAGGAAAAATATCCCTAACTTTTCGTAAAAATGACGATTTTATTGGGGTTGCGGTCATTAGGTGTACCCATTGTCCTTAGAACCTTCCAAGGACCTTCATGACCCCTCCCCCCCCACAATCGATTTTCTTCTTTTTTATTTTCTTCTTTTTTTCCTTATTTCCTTTTTCCCTTTTTTTCTCTTTCCTTTTTTTCTTTTTCCCCCTTTTTTATTTTTGTTTCTTTCCCCCTTTTTTTCTTTTATTTTTCCCCCTTTTCTTTCTATATTGGTTCTTTTTTCCCCCCTTTAGCAAATACACCCTCATCATTATAACGCGTAACTTTGTGGCGTAACTAAATGCGTAGCTCCATTAAAAGGTGAACCCTTTTTAGAGTTTTCAAAGTTCAAATTTACACGCACCCCAGGACTCATCGCAGGGCGCAGTCACGCGACAAAACGACCTCCGCGAGATCATAAGCGCGGCAAACTAATTTATCCGAGCCGGCAAGCGGAAAATCCACCCCTAAAATTTTCGAAAAGAAAAATTAACCCCGTACGACTTTCGTGAGAGAAACGGCAACCGTGGAAAATGCCGGGTCCGGAGCTGGATCCATTGTGATATTTACTTAATTCCGCCTTTTTTATTTACCCCGGCTCCATTTCCTCCGAGCCACCCCGTCCGGGCTTCCCGTGCTGTTTACCTTTACTTAAATTTTACTTATTTACACCCCTCGAGATTTTTCCGCACTCGTGAGCTTTCGCCCCTTTTGATTCTTAATGAAAAAACAGCCCCCCTCCCCTCCCGCCATCCGCGGGTTCTCGCGACGCGCCAATTTTTAACGCTGATTCGCCAGACGCAAACTTTGTAATGTGAATCTGTTGCATGCAGAACATGCTCATTCAAAGGGGTGCGCCCCCTGGCTGCTACGCGATGGAAGCTTCGGATGGTGCGCTACAGCTATAAGCAGGGTTGCCACAGAATTTGGAAAATTAAATTTCCTGATTTTCCTGACACATTTTTGTGAAATTCCCTGACAATTGAACGAATACTAGATTTTTAAACAGACAATTAGAGATAGTTTTCAGGCAAAATTCTTGTTCGAAAGTCTAATTCCCTTGAGAAAGCAAAAGAAGGTGATTCGACGATATTTCCCTGACTTTTTAAACCTGACCGTTCAACCAATAAATTATAGAAAACATATTATTATCCTCCGGGCTTTGACATCAGAGGCACTAAATAAAGGTATTACAGATCAATTTATTGTAAAAATGTTAAGCCCTGGATAGACGATCAAATTCCGAACCAATTTCGATCAAAGTAGACATGCTGATGACTGATGGTCACCATCTATCATCAAATTTTGACGGGCCGCACTATTTTGTTCAAAGTAAGATCAGAATGGAGTGCCACCATTCATCATTTCCTGCCACAGGAAACATTTCTGCCAAGTTTTCATTTTAAAATGAAGCAAATTAATGAGTTTCAGACTGATGACTCCTGGCACTTTGATGCTACTTTGATCGGAATTGGTTCGGGAATTTGATCGTCTATCCAGGGCTTGCGGCCCCTTTCCACTATCTTGTATTGTTGAGCTGGTTCATCATTTGAAAGCACTGACACCAGTATACTGGATTCTAGAGGTAGGTTGAAATGAAAAAGCGCTTCCTATCGCAGTGCTCCTTTTCCATGTCCATCAAAAGTTTCGAGATTCGGAACTGTTTTGTTTCAATTTCTCCCACACTCCATGAGCGTCAAAAGTTCGGTGATTCTTTATAAATGTTTCCAAAAGTTCCGAGAAAGTTCCGGAAAATGCAAAAGATCCGGAGAATTTTGGGCATCTCAAAACTTCCGGAATTCGGTACTAGTTCCGCACAATGGGATCACTGCCCTATCGGCTGAGCGCTTGAAAATTCGGATCATTTTCCCGAAGTAGCACGGGGAATCACCTAAGCATTTAAAAATATTGTTATCAGGGTGTCTACAAAAACAGGTTGGCTAAAAATCACTACTCTTACAGTACTTTCTCAGCACATTCCCAAGAAATTCTGTACCTCCTGAAAAATTCCCTAACGGAAAAATTCAGTGCTTTTTCAATGCCTTCAACTGACGAAATTCGAAAAATTTCAAAAGTTTGAATTTCCCGCTGAAATTGCGACAAAAATGAAAAAAAGTTCCGGACTTTCTTGCAAAATTTCCGCACTTTTTCAATATATTTCCGGACCGCCCTTGAAAAATCAGTAATCGGTACTAAAAATCAGTACAGAATTTTTCTGTTAGGGAATTTTTCAGGAGGTACTGAATTTCTTGGGAATAAGCTGGAAAAGTACTGTTAGAGTAGTGATTTTTGGCCAACCTGTTTTTGTAGACACCCTGATAACAATATTTTTAAATGCTTAGGTGATTCTCCGTGCTACTTCGGGAAAATGATCCGAATTTTCAGTTTCCAGACTTGTAGACACGCTTGTTATCTTACTTTGATGCCAAAATAAGTTACTATTTCACCAATCTCACCCTTTGAACACCGAGAGTACACCATATCATTGACTTGGTTCCTCATTAAGGGGGGGCTAATTTGTCAGGCCGTGCAAGCGTGCATTGCCACCTGATCTCGAACAGGTATCCGGGCTTATCTGCTGCCTTTGATTAACTCCCTGAATAATTTAATACTAATCAGTCTCCCCCCTCCTTAGTTCAACCTCGCCATCTTCCTCCTCTGCGTAGGCTTTGTGCTGCTCTCTATAAATTTTGAGTCATCTTAAGATTGATTAATCTTAAGTGCGCAGATCTTACCGATGATACGGCGTGATTTTGGGAATTTAAATTAGTGTTCTAGTGCATAGCGTGTATGCCTCCCTGAAGACGTGGTGGGTGAAAAAAGTGTATATAATTTTAATGAACGATCGATATGATCGTTCTTCAAACAGCATGACGTCATCCAACACTTATGTGCATAGGGAAGCTGATGGTACATAGGTTGTATCTAAACTGAGCTAGAAATTATAGTTCTTAATTGCAAAATGTAGTCCATTTGGATTGCATTGAGTCTCCGGAATGTTTGCTCTCTTTTCTGCTAGAAATACGTCTTGTTCTTGCCTTAGCTGAAGTTCACCATAAGCCCATTCTGCCATGCTAATAAGGAAGAACGCCGTGTGAACATTCGAGAAATGCCAAATTTCATCCGCTAAAATGTTTATTTTTTTTTAGAAAAGTTGTGAATATTTGTACTCGAAATTCTCAGGACTTTTAGGTAAGATTGCGAACAAAATTATCTTAAAAATCGGAAGAAAAATACTCATCAGTTTACCAAGGAATTCGTTACTAACAAAGGGAAATTTTGCACCGCCGAAAGGTTCGTACGGCGTGTTCCCTTAGCACGGCAGCATTCTCCTTCAACAGCGTTGCTCTGGCCCCTAAAACCCACCCTCTAGAGTCAAGATCCATGCTGCCGTGATAGCGAAGAGAACCGTAAGTGCAAAAATGAAGTTTTGAGAAAATGGGCCTAGAAGCTTCTGAGTGGAACATTTTATTAAAAAAAGCCTCCGTTCTTTGTTAAATCGCAACCAATCATTCGATACTCTTAGAAATCATTTGGGGGATTAAAACTCGACCGATTTTATTTTAAAGTACACGAAAAAGATAAAATTCAGTTTCATGTTAGGTTAGTGTTTGGCAAGACAGCCGTAAGTGTCATCTTCTGCGTACTTTTGTGGTAGCGTGTTGGACATACACAATTACACAACAAACACATTTTCAGGTTAGAAATCGGTAGATGAGGGCGGCATTCTTCTTGAAAGCGCTGTTTTCATTGGCTCTCATGCGCCTACGGCTGTCTTGAAAAAAACTATGTCATTTTTTGTGCACTTACGGCTTTATCATACGTCTCGTTTTTATTAAATTAGGATGAATTTTGCTGTTTTAGCTGTCTCAGTAATTTCACCTAAAAGAGTTTAGACGAATTTTGAAGAAAACTCGATTTTGAAAATGTTGCACTTACGGCTCTCTTTGCTATCACGGCAACATGGTTGTGGAGGAAGTGTGAGAATGGCGTTGTGCGTACCTTGTATATGAGGTCGGAGAACTTGGCGGTGGGGTGCCAGCCGTAGCTCTTGCCGTCCGAATCGGAGACGTCGTCGACGATGCCCGAGTCGACTCGCCGATCCCCGTCGCCGAGGACGATGGAGTAGCGGACCCGGCACTGGTGGTCGAACCCCGTGTACCGGTTCAGGTACAGAGACACTCGGTCCCCTGGAACACACAGGAAAATCACGTCAAAATCGCGTCGGAGACACAATCAACTACTGGACAAAATAAAGATTAAGCCTTGTCTCCCTAAGACGTTTTCACGGGATTTGTCCCAGGGAAAAATCCCGCTTGTAAAGTCTGGGAAAATTTCCCCAGTACTACATGGATTGCATTTTGCAAAAAGGAACCAAGAGGATTCCAATGTCGCTAAGATTGTGCAACTAACAATTTTTGTAATAAAATCACTGACATTATGCAAAAAGTTAAATTTCCAAAGGTGATTTTCGTCTTGAATTCATAGTTTATTGGAGGTAAAGATAAGTTTTATAAGATGATCAGTCCATAGTTGCAGGGTTAAAAAGTTTCACAATCTTAGCAACATTGGAATTCTTGTGGTTCCTTTTTGCAAAATGCAATCCAAATACACCAATAAAAATATTTGTTAATATCTCGGGGTCGGGTTAGTACTGGACTTTTGCTGATTTAACTTCCCGCGCTATTTGTTGCTTGAACGCGAGAACCGCGTCCCGTAACTAGGTAAAATCCCACAAGTTTCATTCCCGCGATTCGAACTTGGGACAAAACTCATGAAAACTTCCCGTGGAGACAAGGCCTTCGGCATTAAGCCCAACTCACACGGTTCAACTCGTGTCGAGCGAAAAGTCGGATCGTGTGATTTTGACACAAGAACGCAGCAGTCGGATGAAAAGTTGAAAAGGAACTTGAATGCGGCGTCATCTCCAACTTACTGTTCGACGTTTCCTCATCACAAGTTTTCTTATTACTTAGTTTATGCAAAACACGTTGAAGATGTTGGGTAGAGTCGAGCTAAATAGTCATAACAAAATTGTAGTGTTTCAATCTCATCGCCTGTTTTATTTTTTCGAAGAAGACCAACCAAAGAACTGTCTGCTAAAACTGGCTGGCCGAACTACAGTACTTTTACGGTACCTCCATTTGATGAAATTCGAAACATTTGGAAAATTTTAAATGGGCCTGTTGCATGCAAGAGATACAGCCGTGCGAATAGACTTTTCAGAGGTTAAATGACACGAAAATGACGATTGTCACACTAAAAAAGTCTGAAATACACTCCTTACTGCGCAATTTGCGTTGCTAGGAACGCGCGTTTTCAAATTTCCCGCGTCTGGGGGCAGTTTTCTAGCGGAAACAATTAACGGCAACTCGCGGCTATTTCCGGTCAACTAACTAACAACATAACCTAAAAATCGGAGCTCGTGATATCGTGAAATGAAATGTAGGAGGATTGTGTTGGATATTTAAAAGTTGATCGATTTGGTTAGCGCATAAAGCGTATATGGACCACTATAAGAGATCACGTTGGGTTTGTAAACAAACTGAAGGAAAAATAACAACAACAACAACGACTCGGCATCTTCCGGAAATCACCGAGCCCGCCGTTTGCTCGTTTCCGGTGATTAGAAAACTGCCCCCAGACGCGGGAAATTTGAAAAAGCGCGTTCCAAACAACGCAAATTGCGCAGTAAGGAGTGTATTTCAGACTTTTTTAATGTGACCATCGTAATTTTCGTGTCATTTAACCTTTAAAAAGTATATTCGCGCGGCTGTATCTCTTGCATTCAACAGGCCCATTCTCGCTCGAATTGCGACAAGAGTGACGAGGCCAGAAAATTTTATTGGTGCTTTGAATATTAACTGACTGCACAATCGCAATCTTGCAGGCAAATACTGCTCTAAGAATCAATGCGCAATCAATGGGATTGCATTCTTTCCAGGGTTTATTAAAGAAACACACGTGGTATATGATTCTAGATTCAAGAAAATTTTTTTCTAGTATGGCTCCTGTCTATCACAGACTCGATCTATATCTTCAAATAATGTAATTAAGCGCTTGAGTTAGTTCTTGGTGTGTTTTGTTGTCCTTTTTTGTCTCGTTTGATATAACTCAGACTCTCAAGATTGTGTCATTAATTTTCATGTGAAAAGTCCCCGAAGTTTGCCAAAAGTTCCACTGATATATGTAAGGGGCACTGAATAAGACAAATCAGAATCGAATCTATTTTTCTTTTCAAATTTTTAGAGTCTGAAGTCTGGATTTTGTAGAAACCCTTTTTCCAGTGTACCTCCTGTCTATCATGGACTCAATCTGTATCTTTAAATCGTTTAATTAAATTGAGATGTTGCATGTGTGAGGAATTTGCGATTTTACTGTAGATTCTTATGTAAAAGTTCGAGAGAAACACGATGGTTCCACTGGTTTACTCTGAAGTCAACTGCCAAGCTCAAAAAAAGCTCTTAAGTTGAGGCCAAAATGGCCGGGGATATCCCACGCTATCCTGAGAGTCGATCTCTACATCAAGGCTACACTCTCCATGCAAAGATATGGAGCAAATACATTGACAGGGCTGCCACTTTATTTGGGGACTCGAAAACTGAAAACACGGCACCACTGCTAATGTATTTGCTCCCTATCTTTGCATGAAGAGTTTGTTTTGATGTAGAGGTGGACTCTCAGGGTAGGGTGGGATATCCTCTCCATTTTGGCCTCAATTTGAGAGCTTTTTTTGAGCTTGGGAGTTGATTTCAGAGAAAACCAGTGGCATCATCGTGTTTCTCGCGAACTTTTACGGAAGAATCAACAGTCAAATCGCAAATTCCTCACACATGCAACATCTCCATTCTTCTTGTGTCTTGTTGTCCTTTTTGTCTCGTTTGCATCAATTCAGACTTTCAAGATTGTGTCACTAATTCTCGAGCGAAAGGTCCCCGAAGTTTGCCAAAAGTTCCACTTACACATGTCGTCGCTCCTCTAACGTAAGGGCGTGTCTCTACTTCCACACGAGCCCCGGAGAGCATGGCAGTATATGAACAACAGGGCTCACGTAGAGATTGGGATACTCCCTTACGTCACAGGAGCATAGATGCAAAGGACATCGAATAAGACAGAGCTATCCCGAGCACCGGTAACTACCAGTCCGTAAATCGTTTTCTCATCAGATTGCGTATCCAACAGACTGCTTCGGTGGACGAATGAATTTACCTCGGATGATAAGAACTTCAAGCCGCTCTCGTGGCGTTCATTGAAACGCAACTTGTATTTCTTTCGACAAGAAGCAAAGTTTCGCTAAGATCTTGATGCAGCTGAGCAAACTTCTGAGAGAGAAGCAAGTAAAAACTTCTTAGCCACCAAGATCAGTTCCAATTCACGGAGCGTGGGTTCTTAATGATATTGAGGGTTTCTGGCAGGATTCGATACGATACTCCATTAGTGTCGATTCTTGTCGGATACGTCTGACTGAACTAATGGGTTTGTTTCTTGAATTTTTAAAGTCATTTTGGTATAAGACAAATAAGAATTTTGAGATGATGAGCCTTAAATTTTTCACAGCAATATTTACTCGCCCGATTCTGATTCGTGACTTTCAAAAAAAGGCTTCGTGACATTTCAGAAATCCACATTTTCCCAGAAGATAAACTACCGATATGATTTTGTTAAAACAGGGAGGTATTAAAAGATACCTTGAGAGTATAAAAACAAGCTGACAGCTCCAGCACGTATGTGCCGGAAGTGTCAACCATGGGGTCATGGTGGGCATTTTGGTTATCTGTAAATAATTAGAGAATCCGAGAATGTAGGTAGTAAATATTTGTAGTTTTTACTAGAGGAAATAAAGTGTAATAATATTTGGTTGGAATCCCATTTTCTCGTCCCAACACTTGAAAAAATCACCTTTATATTAAAAAAATGCTAATGAGCTTGTTTAGTAATTCGTAATTCTTGCACCAAAAGTGCTAAAATAGGGGAACAATAAGTTTTAGTAGGAACCTTAAAGCGCCTTCAATTACGTTTGATACTGTGCAATACGTCAGAGGTGGAATAGTTGCTCTAAGCGCCTTCGTTGCCTCAGCTTAATGATAGAAGATCAGGATTACTGCTGAAGTCTTACTGTGGAGTTTGCGCTGTTGCACATTTTCTCATCCTCGACATTCAGATAAAACAATTCATCCCTAAATTTACGATGTTGCAAGTTTTGAAATTCATATTTCAAGTAAAATATGCGTGGAAAGTAGGATATTATGGCTTCGACTTGATGGCAGAAGATCACGAATATTGCTGTAACCACCATTATTCCGCTTGCGCAGTTGCACATAAATAAAATATAAACTTAAAGGAAGGAAATAAACTTAAGGAATCCATTTTATCAAACCCTTCGATGTGTAATTATTTAATTCTTTTTATTCGTAGTTTAAAACTGTTCGCTCAATTATTGTAACTTTTCGCTTTATTTTGGCACAAAAATGAACTTGACTATTACTATTGAAATTCCTCGGATGGCGCTCAGTGCGGAAGTAATTTCTGTCAGAATCTCTAATTTTGATTTTTCTAGCGCATGCAGTATAATTCTCTTGCTTGAGAAAATTAGTGCCATGTTAATAAGGAGGACTGTCACAACGCCAAAGATAAATATCAAGATATTTTTCTTTTTTTTTTAAGAGTTTATTTATTGTAACCTTCCTTGGAGGAAATAAATACAATTATCTTAATGTATGTAAATAAAGGTATGTAAAAGTATTAACTGAATAATTACTTTCTATAAAGATTGTAGTCAATCTTAAGACTGGTAAACAGCTAAGGACTTGATTTTAAGGCGCTGTTGTATAAGTAAATCGCTGTTGATATTACATTAATATCAAATCTTGAATCTGCAGTGCATGTTCAGCCAGTCATAAGATTTAATGACGAGAACACTACCTAATTACAAAGATTCCGTAATTTAGCTACTGGCACTCAACTTCATTTGACTAGTTAACTCGGAGCTTATATTCCTTAATTAAAATAAGGAAAGCACTACAAAATACTGCAGTAGATGGTCTAATTAAATGATGTATACAGTGGACTAATTTGTAAGACGCGCACAGCTTCAAGAAGGAAAATAATGGAGAGATGATGCTTCATTATCTTGCTATGAGCAAGTTGCACGATTGACCGAAATTATTAAAAATATGTTTGATACAGAATA